GTTCCCGCTTCCCCCACCTTCCTCCCACAGCGCAATCCCACGCACACCCCTTTCCCCGCGCGCCGCCACCTTTAGTTCGCCCGCTATTCCCCCGCGCGATCGTTTCCCCCCCCCGTCGCTTCCCTCCTTCCCCTGACATTCGCCCCCCGGACATTTGCCCCCCCCACGCGCAACTCGCGAGCGACCCCCGGGTCCGCTCTTCCACCTTGCGCGACTGTTCCCCCCCTCCACGTCCCCGCCTTATCATCATCATCATCATCATCATCATCATCATCATCACCAATCTACCACGCTACCACCCAATCAATAGTAGATAGGATCGCCCCACCCTCGATTTACATCAAATCCATTTTTTTTTTCTAGAATCCAGTTTAAATCCTCCTTTTTTTGTTTTCTTTTTTGTTGTCCATTCGAAAATACTCATTTCTTTCTCAACGTATCTTCTTTTTCGAAATTTTCGAAATACATAGGATTAAGAATTCTCCCTTGACATTTCATCTTCGAAATCCGAAAATCAGTTTAATTAATTCCTTTTTCAAAATTTTTCGAAAATTTCAGAATTAATTAAATTCTTTTTCGACATTTCGTTTTCATAATCCGAAAACATTCCTAATTAATTCTTTTTTGGAATTTTTGGAATTTGAAAAACATTTTAGAATTAATTTAACCCTTTTTCGACATTTCTTTTTCAACCTTTCTTTTTCAAAATTTCTTTTTCAAAACATTTCTACTTAATTTTTTTATTTTTATTTTAATTTTTTTTATTTTATTTTTTTGAATTCTTTTTCGATATTTCTTTTGGAAATTCAAAAATAATTCTAATTTATTCTTTTTCCCAGTATTTTAATTCACAATTTCTTTTCGCAATTTTTGTTGAAATCCGAAACTCTTTTTACAATTCGAAAGTACTTTTCTTTTAAAAATGTTATTCGAAATCCCTCAATTAATATCGATTAAATTCAATTAATTCAGGACAGAATTAATCTTTTTATTCGAAATTAATTATCCTTTTTTTGAAATGTCAACATTTTCCTTTTGAAAAAAAAAATTCTTGCCAGATATTTTAAGATTTTCCTCTTCATAATTCTTTTTAGAATTATTTATTTATTTATTTATTTATTTATTTTATTTTTTCCCCCGTAATTCGTAAATATTTTCTTTTGAAATTTCACGTTTTCTTGTAAATATCTGAATCAGAATTTATTTTTTCGAAATTAATTACCTCTTTCTGTTCAGCGTTTATTTTTTGAAAAAAAAAAAAAAAAAAAAAAAAACCTTGGGGATTATCTTTATTTTTGAATTTATTAATAAATAAATAAGGTATTCCCTCCCCACCCTCCATATGCCACCATGCCAAACCAAGAACTCCCAACGCGCCGCCTTCGACGCCGCCGCTGCTGCTGCTGCATCCTCCACACCTGCTCAGGCCACGTCCTCCTCCCCCTCTTCCCCCGACATGGCCGTATCCTCCATCAACATGTCCGACATCCGCACCGACTCAGTTGATAGCATCGCCCGCAACCTCGCAGGCGAACAACCACCAGCAAACACCGCCACCCTCGACCTCTCCGCCATCCTCCACGCACTTAACACCCTCCGAACCTCCGTC